GAAGGAACGCGGAGGCATCTTACCCTCTGCACTGAGAAAGGTCGTAGAAGGAACTCGGAGGCATCCTCGGCACTGAGAAAGGTCGTAGATAGAATGCAGAGGCATCTTACCCTCAGCACTCAGAAAGATCATAGACGGAACGGAGAGGCATCTGAACCTCAGCACTTACAAAAGTCGTCGACAGAGCGAAGAATATCTTCCCCTCAGCACCCAGAAAGGTTGATGCCAGTTGTCATAAACATGCCAGTCAACATTTTTGTCTTTTCCACACACCTGAAGGCTCTAGCTTCCAACAGTTACAACATCAGCAAAAGCAACAACAGCAGCAGCCGCAAGTGCAACTAATGTGACACTTTATTGTTGCCACAATAAAATGTCACATTAGTTGCACTTGTGTCATTTTTACCTAACACATTGTCGGTAATTCTACCATCATTAATACAGCAGCAGCAGCAGCAGCAGCAGCAGCAGCAGCAGCAGCAGCAGCAGCAGCAGCAGCAGCAGCAGCAGCAAAGTCTACGCTACCACTGTAGATACCACCAGACAACTGCCACAGCAACAGACTGTGACATATCTGTAGCATACCAGATATCACCCAACAACTGCCTCAACAAGTCTGTGGTACCTCGGTAGAATACCAGATAACACGAAGCCAGTGTAGCACCAAATGCATGTATATATGTATGTATGTATGTATGTGTGTGAGGGAGGGGTGGATCTTAGTGACTACTTGGTATGGCTGGGGCAGTGCACCCGCTGCCATGGGTACCATAGGTAATAAAGTCGTAACCTTCAGAGCCCCTCTCACTGAAATTTACTGAAGCAGCGGGAACAGCACCGGAAAGCAACATCAACAGCATCACAAGCAACAACAGTAGCAGTAATGAAAGTATTAGTAGCAATAGCACCAACAGAATAAGCAGAATAATTAGCAGCCGTAAAAACAACAGCAGCAATCACAAATATTACGAGGAACAGCAAGGAAATAAGAAAATAAAGATAGCACCACTACCACGGAAGAGAGAGAGAGAGAGAGAGAGAGAGAGAGAGAGAGAGAGAGAGAGAGAGAGAGATAGAGACAGACAGACAGACAGAGACAGAGGAGGGAAAGGGGAGGAAGAGTCACACGAAGAGTCACACTCCTACTGGTCGGAAACCGCAAAGAGCTGCCGCGTTTCTCGTAAAATTGAATAATGCATAATAATTACACAGTGGAACGACGTCTTCTGAGGAAATTATGACATCTTGGAGTGAAGCAGCGGCGGCGTCAGCCCCCCAGGACACACACCAGTTTCTCTTGTTTAGTGTATTCAAATCCTCCCTTGGTGAACCCACTCTAAATTACTCACGACACTTGATTGTATTTTTTATACAAAACCATTGTTTCATTTCTTTTTTCACTCGTTCAAATAATGGAATTAAAATATAATAAATGAGAATTTCTCGCAGGAAAGTAAAGATGTACTTAGGACTGAAGAGTGCATGCAAGAATTTAATACTCCAGTGTTTTTATTTCTGCCTAACATGAGCTTTTCCTGCGAGACAGACTAGTGGTAAGGAATGTTGAATGGGTAGGATCTGTGTGTGTGCATTCACCTATTTGTGGTTGCAGGGGTCGATTCACAGCTCCTGGCCCCGTCTCTTCACTGACCGCTACTGGGTCCTCCCTCTCCCTGCGTGTGTGCGTGTGTGTGTGTGTGTGTGTGTGTGTGTGTTTTAGCGCGTGTGTGTGTGTGTGAACGCATGTACCTATATCTAGGCCTAGAAAGTTTAAAGTCAATCGGAAGAAGTATTCTCTAGCACTAAGTTCAAAGCCACTTCTCAAAAGCTGCGTTCTCAAGTTCATTAGTACTGAAGGTGTGAATCCGATCGGACGAGAGGATCGCAATTCATCGCACAGAAACGAAATGTGAAACTGATCCTCCGTGAGGCTGACCAGAGGGCACCTACACACGCCAATAGTTGCAAAACAACCAGTGGGGGGAGTTGAATGATACATCTAGGCATTTCGTGTTGCAATCAATACATCTTCGGGAGCTTGCAATGTATGCACGAGCATTATAGCATGTGCACATGTATACGCAAGTGTGTAAGTGTATCAACATGTATGCGTGACTGTTACTTTACTAGTGGTACACACACATACATGTCCTTTCCAACACTGTGTGTGAATTATCCTTTACTTATCTTTTTCGTCTTATAAGTGAAGAGCAAAGACGACACACATACATACATAAATAAACATACACACGCAGTGTTGAAGATACACTGGGAATTTTCTTTCTTTATAAAGTGACAGAACAATGCAATGCCGTACAAGAGGCAGTGAGTGCCAGAAAAACTTTAAATTATGTGGACACACGTACATGAGTGTGTGTGTGTGTGTGTATGTGTGTATGTGTGTGCGTGTGCTGTGTGTGTGTGTGTGTGTGTGTGTGTGTGTGTGTCATCTCTGCTCTTCACTTATCTTATGAAGAAGATAAATACAGTATGATACCCA